GGATGGTGTTAAGAGATAGATGGGTGGTGTTGAATGGAGTTGAAGGATGGGACTAATAACAACTAACAACAACAAGATAACTAGCAAGTGGCAAGTGTCTTCACTGACATTTTCAACATGTCCCTGACTGAGTCTGTAATACCAACATGTTTCAAGCAGACCACCATAGTCCCCGTGCCCAAGGACACTAAGATAACCTGCCTAAATGACTACCGACCCGTAGCACTGACGTCTGTAGCCATGAAGTGCTTTGAAAGGCTGGTCATGGCTCACATCAACACCATTATCCCAGAAACCCTAGACCCACTCCAATTTGCATACCGCCCCAACAGATCCACAGATGATGCAATCTCTATTGCACTCCACACTGCCCTTTCCCACCTGGACAAGAGGAACACCTACGTAATGAATGCTATTCATTGACTACAGCTCAGCGTTCAACACCATAGTGCCCTCAAAGCTCATCACTAAGCTAATGATCCTGGGACTAAACACCTCCCTCTGCAACTGAATCCTGGACTTCCTGACGGGCCGCCCCCAGGTGGTAACGGTAGGTAACAACACGGGGGCCTCCTGGGGGCGAGTGGCGCAGTGGTCTAAGGCACTGCATCGCAGTGCTAGCTGTGCCACTAGAGATCCTGGTTCGAATCCAGGCTCTGTCGTAGCCGGCCGCGACCGGGAGACCCATGGGGCTGCGCACAATTGGCCCAGCGTCGTCCAGGGTAGGGGAGGGAATGGCCGGCAGGGATGTAGCTCAGTTGGTAGAGCATGGTGTTTGCAACGCGAGGGTTGTGGGTTCGATTCCCACGGGGGGGGGGAATAATAAAAATGTATGCACTCACTAACTGTAAGTCGCTCTGGATAAGAGCGTCTGCTAAATGACTCAAATGTAAAAAATGTCAACACGGGGGCCCCTCAGGGGTGCGTGCTCAGTCCCCTCCTGTACTGCCTGTTCACCCATGACTGCATGGCCAGGCACGACTCCAACACCATCATTAAGTTTGCCGACGAAAACAAAAGTGGTAGGCCTGATCACCGACAACGATGAGACAGCCTATAGGGAGGAGGTCAGAGACATGGCCGTGTGGTGCCAGGATAACAACCTCTCCCTCAACGTGACCAAGACAAAGGAGATGATTGTGGACTACAGGAAAAAAAAGAGGACTGAGCACGCCCCCATTCTCATCGACGGGGCTGTAGTGGAACAGGTTGAGAGCTTCAAGTTCCTTGGTGTCCACATCACCAACGAACTATCATGGTCCAAACACACCAAGACAGTCGTGAAGAGGGCACGACAAAGCCTATTCCCCCTCAGGAGACTGAAAAGATTTGGCATGGGTCCTCAGATCCTCAAAAAGTTATACAGCTGCACCATCGAGAGAATCCTGACTGGTTGCATCACTGCCTGGTATGGCAACTGCTCGGCCTCCGACCGCAAGGCACTACAGAGGGTAGTGCGTACGGCCCAGTACATCACTGGGACCAAGCTTCCTGCCATCCAGGACCTCTATACCAGGCGGTGTCAGTGGAAGGCCCTCAAAATTGTCAAGGACCCCAGCCACCCTAATCATAGACTGTTCTCTCTGCTACCGCACGGAAAGCGGTGCTGGAGCGCCAAGTCTAGGTTCAAAAGGCTTCTCAACAGCTTCTAACCCTAAGCCATAAGACTCCTGAACAGCTAATCATGGCTACCCGGACTATTTGCACTGCCCCCCCACCCCCACCCCATCTTTTTACGCTGCTGCTACTCTGTTAATTATTTATGCATAGTCACTTTAACTCTACCCACATGTACATATTACCTCAACTACCTCAACTAGCCGGTGCCCCCGCACATTGACTCTGCACCGGTACCCCCCTGTATATAGCCTCCCTACTGTTTTTTATTTTACTTCTGCTCTTTTTTTCTCAACACTTTTGTTGTTGTTGTTTTATTTTACTTTTTTATAAAAAAATAAATGCATTGTTGGTAAGTAAGCATTTCACGGTAATGTCTACACCTGTTGTATTCGGCGCATGAGGCAAATAACATTTGATTTGATTTTATTTCATTTGTAAAGCATACTGTGTCCATAATAAGTATATAGGTTATAGGTTGAGAGCTTTTGTGAAAGAGCACAGTTAGAAAGATATGGCATACAAAAGCAAACCGGATGGACATCGTGAAAATGATCGGAGCGGTTGAGGGTAGAGGAAGTTATAAAATAGAATTATTGTAAAATTGACTGTGTCCATAAAATGTATATAGTATGTATAAGCTGGAAGTAGAGGCCTAAGCATTGTTGTTCACTAGTTTACTCCAATTAGGGAAGGGGTGGTGGGGTTGGAAAGTAATAAAGGGAAATATATTTTTTTAAAGGATATGTATATATATGTATGTATATGTATTTATATGTTTGTATGTGTATATGTATGTGTATGTATGTATATCTACACTGCTAAAAAAATAAAGGGAACACTAAAATAACACATCCTAGATCTGAATGAATGAAATAATCGTATTAAATACTTTTTTATTTACATAGTTGAATGTGCTGACAACAAAATCACACACAAATTATCAATGGAAATCAAATTTATCAACCCATGGAGGTCTGGATTTGGCGTCACCCTCAAAATTAAAGTGGAAAACCACACTACAGGCTGATCCAACTTTGATGTAATGTCCTTAAAACAAGTCAAAATGAGGCTCAGTAGTGTGTGTGGCCTCCATGTGCCTGTATGACCTCCCTACAACGCCTGGGCATGCTCCTGATGAGGTGGCGGATGGTCTCCTGAGGGATCTCCTCCCAGACCTGGACTAAAGCATCCGCCAACTCCTGGACAGTCTGTGGTGCAACGTGGCGTTGGTGGATGGAGCGAGACATGATGTCCCAGATGTGCTCAATTGGATTCAGATCTGGGGAACGGGCGGGCCAGTCCATAGCATCAATGCCTTCCACTTGCAGGAACTGCTGACACACTCCAGCCACATGAGGTCTAGCATTGTCTTGCATTAGGAGGAACCCAGGGCCAACCGCACCAGCATATGGTCTCACAAGGGGTCTGAGGATCTCATCTCGGTACCTAATGGCAGTCAGGCTACCTCTGGCGAGCACATGGAGGGCTGTGCGGCCCCCCAAAGAAATGCCACCCCACACCATGACTGACCCACCGCCAAACCGGTCATGCTGGAGGATGTTGCAGGCAGCAGAACGTTCTCCACGGCGTCTCCAGACTCTGTCACGTCTGTCACATGTGCTCAGTGTGAACCTGCTTTCATCTGTGAAGAGCACAGGGCGCCAGTGGCGAATTTGCCAATCTTGGTGTTCTCTGGCAAATGCCAAACGTCCTGCACAGTGTTGGGCTGTAAGCACAACCCCCACCTGTGGACATCGGGCCCTCATACCACCCTCATGGAGTCTGTTTCTGACCGTTTGAGCAGACACATGCACATTTGTGGCCTGCTGGAGGTCATTTTGCAGGGCTCTGGCAGTGCTCCTCCTGCTCCTCCTTGCACAAAGGCGGAGGTAGCAGTCCTCCCACGGCCTCCTCCACGTCTCCTGATGTACTGGCCTGTCTCCTGGTAGCGCCTCCATGCTCTGGACACTACCCTGACAGACACAGCAAACCTTCTTGTCACAGCTCGCATTGATGTGCCATCCTGGATGAGCTGCACTAACTGAGCCACTTGTGTGGGTTGTAGACTCCATCTCATGCTACCACTAGAGTGAAAGCACCGCCAGCATTCAAAAGTGACCAAAACATCAGCCAGGAAGCATAGGAACTGAGAAGTGGTCTGTGGTCACCACCTGCAAAACCAGTCCTTTATTGGGGATGTCTTGCTAATTGCCTATAATTTCCACCTGTTGTCTATTCCATTTGCACAACAGCATGTGAAATGTATTCTCAATCAGTGTTGCTTCCTAAGTGGACAGTTTGATTTCACAGAAGTGTGAAATTGACTTGGAGTTACATTGTGTTGTTTAAGTGTCCCCTTTTTTTTTTTGAGCAGTGTATTTATCCAGTCCCTCGGTGCAAGCCTCAGGCTCCGAGAACTTCACCAAACCTAACCCCTCCAATACTTCGCCCTCACTACCTTCCATTTCTACTCCTGTCTTCGATCTGGCATACAGCTCACTCTGCTTACACTTTCTTCCATTCTTCTTTAATGAATCATCTCCCTTTTTTGCCGTTTTTAACCGATTGAAGGTCACCCTCTTCCTCTTTCTCTCTCTTTGACCTCCAGCATATTCCAAGTATTTATCTCCTTATGATAAAACTTTACTTCTCCTGACATACATCTTATTCTTGTCAAGTCAAGATACACCATTTTATTTTCATAACTGTAGGGAACACAATATATGATCTGTACTTGGCATATAGGTTTCTCACTTATGGGTGGCACAAATTGTAATATGGGGGAGGGGAATGGGCAGGGTACATGCAAATTCAATACTGTAATATTTACTATAGTTTAATTGTAGTGTTTTTGCGGACTGTAGTGTTTTTGTGGACATTACTGTAGTAGTACTACAGTGTTTTTCCCAGATAAAACTGTAGTATTTACTATAGTATTCTACAGTATACTACAAAATACTTTAGTAAGTACTACACATGATTGAGGTATACTACAGTGTGTAGTATAGTATACTACAGTTTACTACATAATTCTATAGTAAGTGATGTGGTACTTATTCTATAGTAAACTGTAGTATTTTTTCATATAGGTCCTACAATTAGTAATAACAACTGTTTACTTGTTTATATTCATGTGCCGGTATTCATATTTCATTTTCATCACAAAGGTTGCAAGTGGTAGCCAATCACAAGTTGCTTGTATTAAACAGAAATACAGACGTTTTCAAATATGTGTAGGCTTTCATCAATGCTGTTGTAATGTCCACGCATGCGCAGTTTGCCGTCGAAGAACCCACTATTTGGCAGGAAGACCGAGCTTCCCGCGTCCCCCATGCATATTTCCAGATCACTATTTGGTAGAAAGCGGGATAGGCGGGACTCGGCCATAGCATTTGGGTTGAATGCAAACGGAGCCAGAGGAAAAGCAAGAGGGGATCAATTTAGAGTTACAATTCATCGGGTAAGCAACCTTCAAACTAATCACTCGATTGGTAATTAAATGCATGGACTCAGACGACCACTACACTAGTTCATTAGGAAGTATGCATGTGCATGAGCAATTGTGTATAAACCTGGTTTGTTGTTTGCATTTCAAATGCATGTCAGACAGACCCATACCTTCCCCTCCTTTGTTCGCTTGCGCCGCTTTTGATGCGGGGTTTGTGTATACGGGTGCAACATGGCTGACATTGAGGTACCATACCTGCTCAGTTAAAATCCAGTCAATCCGCCTATTTGACAATCAAGCGAATCGGTGCTTTAGGATGTACATGTATGCAACGTCATTTATTCATTGTAAACAAAATGACAATCCTATACATTCTTGGGTCACTCCAGAGATTCTTGAGTAGTTTTACTTAGCTTGAATTGCTTGCCATTTCTGTTAAATAAAAGTATACAACAGTTAGTTCGAGGCAATGAGACAGAAACGTTATTTCAATGTTACCTGTAGGTAAATCATGTTTGAAAAAACATGTCTGAAGGGGGCGGGTCTAATCCTAGTCTACTAAAAAGTAATTTGTTATCTGGATTCTTTTTTTCTTTTTTTGGTGGGGGGGGGGGGGGGGGGGTGTAAATCCCTATTGTTTATACATTTTAAGGAAAGACAGCCTATGTTGTCTATTTTCATAAGTATACATTATTCTATTACACCTAACGTTGTAGAATTGTGACAAAGTGATCCAAGATGGACCTACTTTTTCTATGGACCACTAATACTAAAGAGAGTCCGATTGACCAAACTGTGTGGGTAGGCCTACTTGGTCTCTGTACTGTAATTATGACTCATTGAACATATAACTGGTTTCCTTTGGTGTGTAAGACTAAATCACTCTGCAACAAAAAAAGTATATACTGTTCTGCCATTGTTTTTAAACAGCTACTGCTGCTATATGATTGTATAATTGCTGAAGGACAGGTCTATAGCACACATGAGTCAGCATGACTGATTGGGTTCATATCAGTTACATTTGCGGATGAGATACTTGCTAGTTATGACATTTTCTACCCCAAAGTCATTCTTCATCATAATGCATAATGCTGCTCATTTTTCAACAGTCTGAAGTGCCACATTAAGTGTTCCTGCACTGGAGGGGAGTGATCCTCCCACCTGGGGCCACTACCTGCATGCTGTCCCGCTTTCTTCTGATTCCCTAGTAGAGACATTGTCACCCTAGTCTGGCAGCCTGGCTGCTCACCTACATGTATATCAATGAAGACCCCATTTGGGAAGACGCCAGGCCAGCGCCCCAGAGCTGATGGGGGTGAGACGCACTCCTCCCGCTTTGTGTACATGAAGGCAACCGGAACGTTACGTATAACATATAGCCTACTACACCATATGGCTGTAATTTTAAAGATATAAGTATGTAATACAGTAATAAATGCTGATTGGAGAGATTTCATGCACATGTTTGTTTGTCATTTTAGGGAATACTGGGGTATCTGCAAATATGATGAAGAAAAAAAAATCCCACAAGTAAGTTCTCTCATTGTGTAGACACAGCATAAGACCAAAAGCAGGTTGGCTTACAAACAGATACTACATTGATTTGACATTCATTTACATATTGCTGTCTCTGCCTCTCAAATTGGGATCTCTATAGGAAGCAGAAGAATAATGTTGGTCCAAGCAAGCCTATTGCCCAACCCAGACGAAACATAGTGGGCTGCAGGATAACGCACCAGTGGAAGGAAGACTCCAAGGTTTCCCAGTGGAAAGGAACAGTTCTTGACCAAGTCCCTGTAAACCCCTCTCTCTACCTAATCAAGTATGATGGATTTGACTGTATCTATGGACTTGAGCTTCACAAAGATGAGCGGGTGCAAGGCCTGGAGGTTTTACCAGACCGAGTTGGTAGGTGTTGTGAAGACATGACAAAAGTCGGCCTTGCTCTGCCATAAAAAGCATATTACACTTATGTCTGTTTGGTATGAGTATGTTATAACCAATGTACTCATGCGGTTGATGTGTGTTTGATCATGCATACCTTATATCACAGATTAGTAAATGTATCTTTAAATAGCCATAATTACTATCCATTTGAAAGTGCTCTCTGTATTGCAGCTCCAGCTCGTGTCAGCGATTCCCAGCTAGCAGAAACCATGATAGGCAAAGCAGTGGAGCACATGTTTGAGCAAGATGAAGGACCAAAGGAGGAGTGGAGGGGCATGGTGCTAGCACGGGCTCCCATTATGAACACATGGTTCTACATCACTTACGAAAAGGACCCTGTTTTGTACATGTACCAGCTCTTGGATGACTACAAAGAGGGGGATCTCCGGATAATGCCTGATTCAAGTGAGAGTCCATCAGAAATGATCATTAGTGTTCAAACTGTAGACATTGAGTATGTTTACATGCACAGTAATAGTTTGATATTAAACGGATTATGGCAGTAGACAGATTATGCAGTAGACATGTAAATACCTTACTCAGCATAAGGTCAAAATGGAAGTCGGCATACGCCGATTAAAACACCTGGTTTTCTGAGCCATCTTTTGAATTATTAGGACATGTAAACAGCTTAATCGGCGTTCCAGCAGTGTATTTGATCTGCACATGTGCTAGCACCGGGTAGCGCGAGTGAAGTGAGTTCAGAAAAACTGAAAGTATGCATCTTATAAATAGTTTCTCCATACAAACGTTATATGTCCAAACTCAGAATCAAATAGGCTTCGCAAAAATAACATGGTCACTGTGGTAGAATGTCTATTTTGTTAGGCAATTTTCTGCACTTAAAGAAAGTCCCATCATTAGCCTGATTTCAGATGTGTCCATGTAAACAGGATTATTAGGGAAATCCTTCTTCTCGCAATATTGTGCGCATGTAACCGTGCTCATTGTTTAATGTCTCTATCTCTCTCTTTTTTTAAAAACATGTCATTCTAAGTTGTATTACTGTAGATACAATCATACTACGTAGAAGTAGTCAACCAATTATCTCACTAAAGCTTTCTTTGCTTCTGCAGATGACTCGCCCCCAGCGGAGAGAGAGCCTGGGGAAGTGGTGGATAGCCTTGTTGGTAAACAAGTGGAATATGCCAAAGAGGATGGCGGCAAAAGGACTGGCATGGTTATCCATCAGGTTGAAGCCAAACCCTCTGTGTATTTCATCAAATTTGATGACGACTTTCACATCTACGTCTACGATTTAGTAAAAACGTCTTAGGGCATAGGCATTGAGAAAATCATTGAGTCACAGACCTTGGCAAATGTTCTGACGCTTTCTTTGAAACAACATACATTTCCATTCAAAATGGACAATTCCTTCACAGGCTGCGAATGTGGAACTTGTCATTTCCTGTGTCACTGTTTCCAATGCGAAAGCTTTTAGTGTACTTTGTTTCAAGTCCACTTTGTTTCTAAAAGAAGGGAGACCTCTGCAGAATTCGGCATGTCTGAACATTTACACTCTGTTCAATTGGGCCAGACGCCATGTGCGACATGGTTTATGATTGTAAAATGCAGGAAGAAAAAAAACATTGCATATGGGTCAGATCTTTTTAACTGTTTGGGTTAGAAACAAGCAGTTTTCGCTGTATTAATGGTGCAAGCATGACACTAACTAATCTTCACTCTGGAAACAATGGTACAGTGATGCTTTATCATTACAGCAATTATAAAAAATATATATATATATATTGGATTATTATTTTTTCGCACAGTGCTCCCAAATTAAAACTCCAGGTCGCACAGCAAAATATTTCATTGCATACCTTAGAGCCCTGCTTGCAGCATTTTGAAGTTTAACCAATTCTCACCTAAAAGAACCATGTCATGGTTCTTTTAGGTGAGAATTGTTAGATTGTTAACATATGTTTAAATTGTTCACCTTGTGTTACTGAAGCCTATGTCACTGTTGTCCTAAGCAGCTCTTCTGATGCTGCTGCAGGATTACTTAGCGCTACTACAGTCACTCTTGTGCACAAAGATGAGCTCCTGCTAACCTCAATGTAGTATTATTGATAAGACATCTTGAAGGTGGGCAACAGTTCTCTGAACCATGTGCACCTGGATATACTTTGGTCAAAATGCAAGATCCTTGATGGCCCCTTCATGATTTCCAAGGTGTGGAAATCATCATATGCTGCCAATGGTTGTGGGAGGCATCAAGGCATTTAACATTTTACATTACTGTTCTGCTGGTACTGTGTGTAATGTCAGTTCCACTTCTGAAAAGCAGACTTGTGTTTTCATGTATATAGCTAAATGTAAGTTGATGTGAGTTGCATGTAAGTTTGTTCCTTTCAAGGTTATTAGCTTGTGTAAATTGTGACATTTATTTTGTTGTTTTTGTACCATGCATTACAGAAACCAATTGACTGTTAATGCTAAGTGAGTGCCAACTAAAGGTGCCAGTGTTGTACAACATTTAATGGGTCAAATTTCTAAATAAATCAGTTGTCAGTTATTTTTTATATATTTTATTTTTTAATTAATGGCTTATTTGTATTGATCCACAAAGAGCTTGCCTTATTTGATTGGGAGCAATGTGTGTGCATGTAAGGATGGAGCTTGTGCATACATATTCAGTCATAGTGGTTGTATGTGAAAATAGGACTAACATATTTTGAGTTGAAATGTAAGAGATTTTAGATATAGATAAGGGACAGTAGTGAAGTCCTGTTTATACATCAATATAGAGGTCAAATGCGTTCTTAAAGGCATTGTGTGTTCTACATTCAGTTAATATACCTAATGCATTATTTTTTAATAATGAAAATGGTTACAGATTATATGTCATTTGGCACAAACACTTTAACGTTACATCATTCTGTAAGGACATTTTATAATTAAAGACTATTCTGAATATTAAAACAAATAAGTATGTCATATGTTTTAAAATGTTATATATGAATGTTATGTTTCCTTTTAACACAACCCTGGAAGATTGTCCATTGTGTGTGTAGTAGGATGTAATAGTCCAAATGGGATCCATGGAAAAGCTCTCATAATATTGAGCGTTGCAAAACACAAATACTAACTAGCCATTCCATTTGTCAAGCTAACTCTGAGAAATACTTAGCCATAGAATTACATATAGAATATGAATTATAGGATCTCTATGTATTTAGCTGCAAGATATTGTCCAAGCTTGTATAATTTATTAGATGATTACTTGATCAATACTTTAGCACATCATGAGCGGAAACAATAGTCTAGGAGCTAGGCCCTCAGATCCGGTTCTGCCACTTGTCATCTTTACTTGTGCCGTCGTAAGGTGAGGCTGAATGCACCATTTTGTAAGTCGCTCTGGATAAGAGCGTCTGCTAAATGACGTAAATGTTAATGTGAAAAAAAAGGCTGAGGAAGGACATCATGTTTCTTGTTTTTCAGATCCTAGTCTTGACTCACTTGATTTTTCTTAGGTACTAATGCTGCATTTATAACAAAGTGAGAAGGTGGTGTTTACCACATACAACGGAAAAATCCACTGGAACTCGTCTGCTATCCCTGAGCTCTGACTTCTCCCACATGCTGACCTCTGACGTCACCTACTATGGAAATTACAACAACAAAACATTATTTATGAAAAGCAATCTATTCATATGTTTTTTAAACACTATCATTTCTTTACAAGCATGATAGTTGTACTTTTAGTTATGGTTGACACTAGGTTGTTAGCCATTAGCCAATCTGCGTTTCTCAACCAGTTCAGAGCATGTGAATGCATCCATCCAATTGGTATTTACGACTTCACAACTGGTAATTACCACCTTCCCACTTGGTTATAAACGCAGCATAAAAGCAAGTAAATAAGAAACCTCTTTGTTCCATGGCATGAGGCCTTAGAATGTAAAGATATCTAACCCCTTCAGATCAAGGGAGGAGGGGCTATTGGTCGATTTGGATGTCAAGGGACAGAACAACTACACAGATTATCCATTTTATTGACCAGATACTCTAGTAGCCGCTCTAACAATGAAAGTAAACGTCTTTAAAAATGGAGGCAGTCGGGAGGAGGCAAGATCAGGTGGGACCATTCTAGCCAATGAGAGAGCATATACTCGCGTGACAACAGCCACAACAGTGCCCACTAGTTACCACAGCCACAAAGTCAACATTCATGAAAACTAAAATGTGCTTTTTATTTTAGGGTAGGGTTAGGCATGAGGTTAACAGTGTGATTAAGGTTAGGGTTAAGTTTAAAATCACATTTTAAGAAGATAAATTGTGGAAATAGGCGAGGTGTATGACTTTGTGGCTGTGGTGACTAGTGACGACCAGGCACAACTCCGATATAAAATGTTTTTTCTCAAAGTTGCCGGGATGTCACGTGTCCTAGATATATCAGTACACTCTAAACAACCAAATCAATACGAAACATATATTCGATCAAATAAGACACACGTGGCAAATAGGCCATTACATTTTTTGTTAACCAAATTAGACACTCTCATTGACCTCCATACAAAAACTCCTGGCTTGGTGAGCGAAAAAGAAACGACAAAACGGCACCTGCTGGAGAAAACAGATTTCAGGCCCAGTTATCGCTCTCGCTTTGCCTCTTCCTCTCTGGTAGCTAGCCAATGGTCCTGTCCCAGAATGCATCAGTTGTGAATATATTATAACATGAAATACTGATGGTTTGCTGTACTTTATAGGAAATTCACAAACATTTTAGTTTTTTTCATGTTGAGTAATTTAGATTATATGTTTTTTACTGTTCGTTGAATGCAATTATACAAGAAAAGTTGGACTTTGTTTCCAAACCCGTTTCTAAATAACTATGAGCATTCCTCTAATACTTTTGGAACGTTTACAAACATTGATCCTTCGGTTCATTCATGTGATGATCGGGAGCGGCATGGTTTGTCTGTGACAGGTGTGACCTCATTGTTACGCAATGCACCTCAACCGTCTGATCATGAACCGGGGTTTCCATTTATTTGTTAAGTAATTCAATACAAGGAGAGTTATTGGCATGGGGAACATATGTGTACATTGCCAAATTGTATTGGTCACATACTCATATTTGGTAGATGTTATCGTTGGTGTAGCGAAATGCTTGTGTTCCTAACTCCAACAGCGCAATAGTATCTAATAATTCACAACAATACACATACACAAATTATTAGGAGGAGCAATGTTGGAGTGGCATTGACAAAAATACAGTAGAATAGAATACAGTATACACATATGAGATGAGTAAAGCAGTGTGTAAACATTTTTAAAGTGACTTGTGTTCCATTATTAAAGTGGCCAGTGATTCCATGTCTATGTATATAGGGCAGCAGCCTCTAAGGTGCAGGGTTGAGTAACTGGGTGGTAGCCGGCTAGTGATGGCTATTTAACAGTCTGATGGCCTTGAGATAGAAGCTGTTTTTCAGTCTCTCGGTCCCAGCTTTGATGCACCTGTACTGACCTCACCTTCTGGATGATAGTGGGGTGAACAGGCCGTGGCTTGGGTGGTTGATGACCTTGATGATATTTTTGGCCTTCCTGTGACATCGGGTGCTGTAGGTGTCCTGGAGGGCAGGCAGTGTGCCACCGGTGATGTGTTGGGCAGACCGCACCACCCTCTGGCAGTGCAGTTGCCGTACCAGGTGGTGATACAGCCCGAAAGGATGCTCTCAATTGTGCATCTATAAAAGTTCCTGAGGGTTTTAGGGGCCAAGCGGAAATGTGTGTCGTCTGCAAACTTGATGATTGAGTTGGAGGAGTGCGTGGCCACGCAATCATGGGTGAACAGGGAGTACAGGAGGGGGCTGAGCACGCACCCTTGTGGGACCCCTGTGATGAGGATCAGCGAAGTGGAGGTGTTGTTTCCTACCTTCACCACCTGGGGCGGCCCGTCAGAAAGTCCAGGACCCAGTTGCACAGAGCGGGGTTCAGACCCAGGGCCCCGAGCTTAATAATGAGCTTGGAGGGTACTATGGTGTTGAAGGCTGAGCTATAGTCAATGAACAGCATTCTGACGTCCAGATGGGATAGCGATTGCACCGCGTCGGTGGCACTGTGTTATCCTCAAAGCGGGCGAAGAAGGTGTTTAGCTTATCTGGGAGCAAGACGTCAATTTGGTGTTTGTCCCATTTTGAGAATTCTTGGTTGGTGAGCGGACCCCAGACCTCACAACCATAAAAGGCAATGGGTTCTATAAGTGATTCAAGTATTTGTAGCCAGATCCTAATTGGTATGTCACATTTTATGTTCCTTTTGATGGCATAGAAGGCCCTTCTTGCCTTGTCTCTCAGATTGTACACAGCTTTGTAGAAGTTACCTGTGGCGCTGATGTTTAGGCCGAGGTATGTATCGTTTTTTGTGTGCTCTAGGGCAACGGTGTCTAGATGGTATTTGAATTTGTGGTCCTGGCAACTGGACCTTTTTTGGAACACCATTATTTTTGGCCGGGTGCTGCAGACTGTTCTAATGCCCTTGCCAATTCGTTGATATATATGTTGAAGAGGGTGGGGCTTAAGCTGCATCCCTGTCTCACCCCACGGCCCTGTGGAAAGAAATGTGTGTGTTTTTTGCACATTTTAACTGTGTTGTTTGTGTACATGGATTTATAATGTTGAATGTTTTTCCCCCAACACCACTTTCCATCAATTTGTTTAGAAGACCCTCATTCCAAATTGAGTCAAAAGATTTTTGAAGTCAACAACGCATGAGAAGACTTTGCCAATTAGAGTGTGCAGAGTGAATAC